AGAAAATTGAAGAGCAAAAAAGTGAAGTGTAATTTACGGATGACAGACTATGTTACAACATTAAAAAATGACATAAAAATATATAAAAATATATTAAAGGATAATGATATATTGAAAACTTACTTGTATAATTTTTATATGTTATTGTATGATTAAATATATATAATATTAGAAATTTTAATTAAATAAAAAAATTATTAAACAATATAAAAATTATTTTTTAATTATATTTTTCTAATAATATTAAAATGTCAAGACAAGTTCCGCTCGGAAGTGGGGCGACACATTTCCAAGAAACTACTAAGAAATGTTGGCAAAATGGTGAGTTGACCCCAAAGACGGGCAACAAGGGCAGTATTGTAGTTTAATTAAAATTGCAGGGTAGTTTCTTCGAGTAAAAAATAAGTAGACCTTGGTCGTGTCCTCACCTCCTCTGCTGTCGCTGTTACCCTCGCTTTCCTTGACTCTTCAAAGTTCAAAGTCGTCGTCTGTCTCCAAGTCTACGCCTTGTGCTTTGGGTTCCTTTAATAGTATATTCACACAAATTTCTTTTTTGTTTTTTTAACGAGGGTAATAGTTAAGAAGTTAATATGACTTAGATATTAATAATTGGTTTTTAGATCGGGTGAATATTTCACTTCCTCAAATGGTATGGCTATCAAGTCACTTTTTGGTGGAGTTCACGATGATGATGAATCTCGAAACTCCAACCACCTCACCCAAACACTTAAGGTTTGGAGTCGAACCATTAGGTCTAAAAATCCGGTTCACACACAAACTCCATTTCGTTCTAAACTTTCACAAGCCTCTAATTTTCTATTCTTATTTTCCAATATCGTTTTTAAAATCTATATTTTTAACATTAAATTATATAAAAATAAATTTTAACTTTAATTTTAATAATTAATTAAATTAAAATACATAACATCAATATTAAAATTAATATAAAAAAGACAATAATTACACTCTTAAAAAATCTCTAAATTTTTTAAACCTCAACTACTATAATATGTGGCTTAAAATTAAATTTTGTTATTTTTATTAAAAGAATTTACTACTTAACTACTTAAATTATTAC